GAAATTTTGAATGAAGAAGTGAGATTTAAAACACAAAACCAAGTTATTATTTTGGGGGAAAAAACAAGAAAGCAGGAGCACTAAAGCAGTTGAGTCTCTATACGGAACATATACCAGAATAACAAGAGGCCATTAAAATGGGCTCTTGTTATTCTGGTATATGTTCCAGCATAATCATATTTTAATAAAAGGTTCTTATGCTTCCAATTTGAAGACACCTTCTTATATGGAAGGAGCAGGCAATCCCATGGCCGGACTGCCCCAGACACTTCTGTGTTACATCGCCTTTTAAGAGTTGAGCATTTAAATCCTATGCTGAATTTCATGCTCTACACCAGTGTTTCTTAAAGTGTGGTCTGAGGACCCCTGGAGGTTGCCCCAAACCCTTTCAGGGCTCTACAAACTCAAAATGATTTGCCAGATACTGAAGTGATTTGCAAAAATGTCAAACAATGTCACTCTTCTCATGGTTATTTTTAATTTGTTAAAAAATATAGGTTTCGTTCATGAAAAATATTCAATTTATGTTAAGATCTAATGAGTTTAATATTGTTATTTTTACATGATTCAATAAACAAATATTTTGCAAATGCATCCATTTAAATTTTTAATATCAATTTCAATATCAAGAATGGTAACCCATGGAAACAAAAGCTCTTTTGGGGTCCTCCATCATTTTTAAAAGGGGGAAGGGGTCCTGTGAGCAAAACATTGAAGAAACACTACTCTGTACTAATTCTCTCTTCTTTTTTTTTCCATCCTGCTTTTAACTCCCAAGCCTATAACCACTTCGCACACCTTTTAGCCAGAAAATGAGAAACATAGCTTGTTGCCAGTAAATTGCTGTCCAGAAAGATTCAGGGCAAGTTAATCAAACACAGGTTAGCCAGTTGCAACGGACAGACGTTTACTCAGACATCTACTTTTAGTGCAAGAATTTAGCAGATTCTGGCTTGACTAAGGCTCTCAGGCTGGTCCTTCTGCTCTGCAGTGAGTTATTGGGCTGGGAATCACCTTTGGACAGGATTTGCAAAGCCACAGCTCATCCCGGGGAAGCCTTTCTAGGATCTTTCTTTTTTAAAGAAGCAAACTTGCTAGACTGTGCTCCAACACTTCCCCTCCCTTTTCTTTTTCATCTTCCGCTCGCAGGGAGGAGTTCACAGAGTCTCCTTTGGGACAAAGATTTTTGGGCTACAACTACGACGACCTGTGAAAACATCTAGCTCGGGTGAAAATTGCTGTTGCCATCGGCCAGTGAGCCAAGGTTAGAGAGACAAATAAAAATATCCCCTTGGCTTTTCCCGTTGGAAACAAAGAAAATAATCCATTGTTTTCAAGGGTGGGGGGGACAAAAGATGTTCTTTTTTGTCCCTTTTTGAGTGTTCGGAAGCTGAGGACGATTGAAGGGCAAAATCAGGCTTTCAGCCTTCTGAAATGTAGGGCTCTGAATTTACCCTTCCCCAAAATTCCCCTTCCAGAGAATTACCCCCTCCATAATTCTGGCATTCCCCCAAATCTCCCCCCACCCCAACTTTATCCACTGGGCCTTAGGAAGCCCATAAAGAAATAATAAAAAATTAAAAAGTGTGCTCCAGTCCCAGGAAAGTTGCCCACCTCTGTGTTAAAAAAGTGAGAAATAAAGGAGAGAATGGGAATGTGCTTCTCTCTTACAGTATGTATTTAAAAGTAAAATATGACCATTTTAATCATAGGTGCCTACAGGCATATACATATTCAGGCATGTGTGCATAGGTTCTCACTTTTCCCTTATTTGATCTTACTTGTTACAATTTTGTTACTGAAGTTTTAAAAGATAATCTTATGTTGATATCTTGATAGCTATAAAGCTCTTGGAGTCTATGGAAATTAAGGCACTGGGTAATTTGCATTAAAAAAATAAATAAGTAAACCACCCCATGGGCTGGAATATCATTTATTTACTCTTGCTAAATCTGTATCCTGTCTTTCCTCCAAGAACTCAAGACAACGTTCATAGCAACCCTTCCTCCTCTTTTCCCCACAACCACCTTGTGAGAGAGGCTGGTCTGAAAGAAAGGGACTGGTCCAAAGTTATCTAGGCAGACTTGAACCCGGGCACCACTCCGACACTTTCACCACTGGTGAGTTTTTCAGCTCAAATTGCACTTGAACCAGGGAAAAATTAATAAACATAGATAAAAATCACCAGCGATAATTCAGGAGTGCAATGCAAAAGTGTGTATGCTCAGTCCTCATTATCCGCACATTCTGTTTCCACGAATTCGTTTATACGCTTCTCTAAAAGCGTAACCCATTTTTCGACAAACGTGTTCTCAACATGGCTACACAGGGCCGTGCGCTGTGTGAAAAAACATCTGAGACCCTTACCACGCAGCATCGACACAAGTTACACCAAGGGAAACTGCGCTCTTGTTCTTGTGGTGTTTGCTGGGTTAACAAATCGCCATGTTCTGATAATAGTTGATGTGTTCTCACTAGGATCAATGCTTTAATAACCACAGTTCTGTTTCTATGGGGATTTTCAAGAACATAACCCCTACAGATAATGAGGATTGAGTGTATCTGCTTTCTAGCTAAGTATCCCCAACAGTTACTGGGAGTCAGGTGGCATATAGATGTAATAAATTGTCGTTGTTCTTGCTATAATTATTATTACAGGTAGTCCCCAGGCTAAGAACGCCCGATGACCCAGTTAAGACTGGAGCCTATTGTAGTAAAATTTGAGTTAAATATACAGTGATTTGAGTTCATTACACAATAGTAGTTATACAGTATTATACAATAATACTGTTCCAACTTACATACAAATTCGACTTAAGGACAGACCTTGGGAACGGAACTCATTCTTAAACTGGGGACTACCTGTATTATTAACTTGCAATACCTTACATACAAATTCGACTTAAGGACAGACCTTGGGAACGGAACTCATTCTTAAACTGGGGACTACCTGTATTATTAACTTGCAATACCTTACATACAAATTCGACTTAAGGACAGACCTTGGGAACGGAACTCATTCTTAAACTGGGGACTACCTGTATTATTAACTTGCAATACCCAAAGGAGGGAAGATGAAAATGCATAAAGAAGCCATCCGTATTGCTATTAAAATATGTACTAGTACATGTCCTGTCCCATGGATGTTGAAGAACAGTTAGGGTAGAGGAGTACAGAGATCACTGTGAAGAAGGTATGGGGCAGCTGTTTAGCTAACTTGAACATAGTCTGGAAAGGCAGGAAGGGGGGAGGAAGAAACTCAAGACTGCCTTGCCTTGACTCTCTTGGGTGTAAGAGGGAGGGAGAGAGGAACTGTCTGGCTTCCAAGATTCTGTTATCATACCCTATAACAAAAAAGGAGAATTGCAGGAGCTCTGGTGGAATCAGTTTCCTGACCTGGTGTAGAGAGTAAGAAAATAATATAATATTTTATTGAGAGTGCCTATAAGAACACAATCTTGCAAGTTGGATTGTGCTGGACCTCCTCCCTCTTATATTCCTGTGAATCAGGGAGGTGTCTGCCTGAGCCCCTTCTGAATATTATCTCATTGCTCTGGATTTAAAAAAAAAAATGTTTCAGCCCGTTTTGCCTAGGTATATCTCCATCAAGGTCATCTTCTTTACTCTCCACATCTGGCCTACCTCAAAGAGCTAACCAGTAGCATACATAGCATGACATGCCAAACAGGAGAAAAATTCTGAGTTGTGTCCCCTAAAGATCCTCAGCACAGTCTAGCAACTTTTTTAGAAAGCTTTTAAACCAACAAAGTAGTGTTTCTCAACCTCGGCAACTTGAAGATGTGTGGACTTGAACTCCCAGAATTCCCCTGCCAGCTAGCAGGGGAATTCTGGGAGTTCAAGTCCACACATCTTCAAGTTGCCGAGGTTGAGAAACACTGCAGTAGAGCATTGCCAATCAAAAAGTTCAGTA